CAACTGAAACTTCATACCCATTAAGTGTTAATTCTCTACCTCCCCACCCCAGCCCCTGGTCACCCCCATTCTATTTTTTGTCTCTATGAATTTGACTAACTTACTTCACTTAATATAATGTCTTCAAGATTTATCCATGTTGTAGCATCTGTCAAATTTTTCTTCTTTTTAAGGGTAATTAATATTCCATTGTATGTATATACGACATTTTGTTTTTCTGTTCATCTGTTGATGGATACTTTGGTTGCTTCCACAAATGGTTGTTGTGAATAATACTGCTATGAACATGTACAAATATCATTCAAGTCCCTGCTTTTACTTCTTTAAGTGAATAACCAGAAGTAGAATTGCTGGATCATGTGGTAATTCCATGTTTAATTTTTAATGGAATCACCGTCCTGCTTCCCACAGCCACCGCACCATTTTACAATCCCACCAGCAATGCATACGGGTTCCATTTTTTTCTCTACATATCTGCCCACCCTGCTATTTTCTGTTGTTTCTTTTTATTAGTAGCCATCCTAATGGGTATGAAGTGGTATTTAATTGTAGTTTTAATTTGCGTTTCCCTGATGCAGTTAGTGATGTTGAGCATTTTTTCATGTTCTATTGGCCATTTGTATGTCTTCTTGGGAGAGACATCTTTTCAAGTCCTTGGCCCATTTTTAGTCAGGCTGTTCAGTCTCTTTAATTATTGTTGAGCTCTTGGAGTTCTTTTTTTTTTTAATGGTTTATTGTCAAGTTGGTTTCCATATAACACCCAGTGCTCATCCCCACAAGTGCCCTCCTCCATGCCCATCACCCCCTTTCCCTCCCCCCACTCCCATCAGTCCTCAGTTTGTTCTCAGCATTCAAGAGTCTCTCATGGTTTGCCTCCGTCCCTCTCCCCCACTATTTTTTCCCCTTCTCCTCCCCCACGGTCCTTCATTAAGTTCCTCCTAATCCTCCTATACTTGAAAACATACGGTATCTGTCCTTCTCTGCCTGACTTATTTTGCTCAGCATAACACCCTCAAGGTCCATCCATGTTGCTACACATGGCCAGATTTCATTTTTTCTCATTGCCATGTAGTATTCCATGGTATAGATAAACCACATCTTCTTGATCCATTCGTCCGTTGATGGACACTTAGGCTCTTTCCATGTTTTAGCTATTGTTGAGAGTGCTGCTATGAACATTGGGGTACATGTGCCCCTGTGCATTAGCACTCCTGGATCCCTTGGGTAAATTCCTAGCAGTGCTAGTGCTGGGTCATAAGGGAGTTCTATTGTTAGTTTCCTTAGGAACCTCCACACTGTTTTCCAGAGGGGCTGCACCAGTTTACATTCCCACCACCAGTGTAGGAGGGTGCCCGTTTCTCCACATCCTCGCCAGCATGTAGAGTCCTCTGATCTGCTCATTTTAGCCACTCTGACTGGTGTGAGGTGGTATCTCAGTGTGGTTTTGATTTGTATTTCCCTGATGAGGAGGGATGCTGAGCATCGGTTCATGCGTCTGTTGGCCATCTGGATGTCCTCTTTGGAGAAGTGTCTGTTCATATCTTCTGCCCATTTCTTCACTGGATTGTTTGTTTTTGGGTGTGGAGTTTGGTGAGTTCCTTATAGATTTTGGATACTAGCCCTTTATCTGATATGTCGTTTGCAGCTATCTTTTCCCATTGAGCTGTTGGAGTTCTTTACCCAACTCTCCATACAAGTTTCTTATTAGATGTGTATTTGCAGAAACGTTCTTTCATTCTGTGGGTCATCTTTTCACTTTACCAATTTTGTCCTCTGAAGCAAAAGGTTTTGAATTTTGGTGTTCAGTGTGTGTATTTTCTCCTTGGTTGTTTGTACTCTTGGTGTTATATCTAAGAAACCATGGTATAACCCAAGATTACAAAGATTTCCTACGTTTCCTGCTCAGTGTTATGGTGTTAGCTCTTCCAGTGATTCGCTCTGAGTGAATTACAGTGTAAAGGGTGAGGCAGGAGCCCCGCTTCACGAACCCTTTGCACGCGCCTGTGCAGTTGTCCCAGCACCACTGCCTGAAAAGATTCTTCTTTTCCCATCGGATGGTGTCGATCGCCCTTGTGGAAAACCAATGGACTGTAAATGTAAAGACTTATTTCTGATATCTCATTCTTTCCTTCATGTCTTTTTATTAACTTATTATTTCCCATCTTTTTTGCCTCTTTACTACACTTTGAATGATTTCTTCTGGTTTCTGTTTCAAGGATAAGTTCTTTTTTAAAAAATTTTTATGGTTTTTTTTTTTTGAGAGAGAGACAGACAGACAGAATGTGAGCAGGGGAGGGGCAGAGAGAGAGGGAGACACAGAATCCGAAGCAGGATCCAGGCTCTCAGCTGTCAGCACAGAGCCTGACTCGGGGCTCAAACTCACGAGCTGTGAGATCATGACCTGAGCTGAAGTCTGACACTTCACTGACTGAGCCACCCAGGCACCCCAAGGGGAAGTTCTTTGTTCAGTTGTATCACATGCAGCCAAAAGCATCCATTGCATTGTTAATTTATCATTGTATCTAATTTCTAGAAGTCTTGGGGCACCTGGGTGGCTCAGTCAATTAAGCGGCCGACTTAGCTCAGGTCATGATCTTGCGGTTTATGAATTCAAGCCCCTCATCGGGCTCTGTGCTGACAGCTCAGAGCCTGGATCCTGCTTCGGATTCTGTGTCTCCTTCTCTCTCTGCCCTTCCCCTGCTCATGCTCTGTCTCTCAAAAATAAACAAACATTTAAATTTTTTTTTTAATTTCTAGAAGTCCTATCTGGTTCTTTTTCAAATCAGTGAAGCCACTTTTTGTAGTTTTCTATTCTTTGCAGATATTTCCAGGCTTGTCTTTTATTCCTCTAAATATAGTAAGTATCATTGTTCTATAATCTGTGCCTAATCATAGCACTGTCAGATCTACCTTCAGGTCAGTTTCTGCTGAGCGTTCTATGTGTTGCTTCGCACTTGTTTTGCCTTGTTTGTTCCCTGTACACTTAGCTGTATTTTAGTGTTGTGGTCATTGCCTTTGAAAGAATATTTGCATGAGATTTCCTGAAGCAAAGATAAAGATATTTTTTCCCCTCCAGACAAGATTTACATTTGTTCCTACCAGGTGTCGATAAATGTCAGTCTCAAGCCACTTTAAGTGAAATTCATGGCTTAAAGTATCTTAGATGTCAGTTTTTGTTAGGACGACGTTTCCCAATGAGTATTAGCGCTTGGGTATCTAGCACTCAGACAACTTCCAACAGTCCCTTGGGCACGCGGGGAAGGGAATATGGTTTATCCTCGTTCACTCTTATCCTGGGAGCTTGACCCCTCAGGGCCCAAACTTTGTGTATTTACGTGCATGCGTGATGGTGGTAGAGAGAAGAGAGGTCTATCACATTCTCTACCCCATGTGAGCCCTGGGTTTTCACTTTCATCCCCCTTGTTCAAGGGCTTGGCTATTGGCTATCAACACATCAGTTAAATTTTGTAGTATTTTTTTTCCAGATACGTAAGTGCCATGAATACAAAAGTGTCTTGGGGCACACGCTTCTCCAGGCAGCGCCGTCAAGTACAGTTGTTCGGACTGTGTACTGCACCAAGTCTAAGGGAGGACCAGTCACCTACAGATGTGTTTATTGTGAAACATTTTTGTATTTTTCTCAGAACTTTGATTCCAAGGCTGAGGGATGATCATGGTTATTATAATTATTTCAGAGTTGATAACAGTTAGTGTCTCATTCTAATAAAATCAATGTATTATGACAATTTTGCTCACAGATGGAAGTGAAGTGTCTCATTCTAACTAGGTTCTTTCCTCCCCTCTACCATAACTTGATAGGGGTTTCCAAGGGAAACCTAATTTTCTTGCCAAAAGCTCTCTTGGGCTTTCAGCCTCCCCCTTGCCTGAATTCCTGTTCCCATTCCACTCATCACTCCCAGGTTTTTGAGGCCCACCGCGTTTTACTGATGTGCCACGGGATGCCACGGTGACCAGACGTGGCCTCCGCCTCCTCGTCCAGTCCAGGAGAAGTGGCCGCAAGCAAAGTGAACTCGTGGTGGGCCGGGCCTGATAATGTTCTGAGACAGCAGGACAGAGAGAAGGGAAGCAGCCTGCCCTGTATGTGGTCGCCTAGGGCGCGGGCAGGCTGAAGGGGGCAGACGTGAGTCCTACATCAGTGCCCTGAACACCAGCTGACCCAGCTCAGGACAGTAGGGACACGGAGCCTTACCATGCAGTGTTTGTAAAATAGCTTTTCAAAAAGGAAGTTTTGAAAGGTCTATCCAGATAAACATGCCAACGCAGATAGCTAATTTTTTTAATGCTTTTTAAAAATGTTTTATTTATTTCTGAGAGAGAGACAGCGTGAGCAGGAGAGGGTCAGAGAGAGAGGGAGACACAGAATCCAAAACAGGCTCCAGGCTCTGAGCTGTCAACACAGAGCCCGACATGGGGCTCGAACCCATGAACTGTGAAATCATGACCAAGCTGAAGTTGGACACTTAACTGACTGAGCCACCCAGGCGCCCTTATTTTTTTTTTTTTTTTTTTTTTTTAAAGAAGACAGGAGCAGGGCACCTGGGGGGCTCACTCAGTTAAGCATCCAACTCTTGGTTTCGGCCCAGGTCATGATCTTACCGTTTTGTGAGTTCAGACCCCACAGTGCAGAGCCTGCTTGGGATTCTTCCCTCCCCCTGCCCCCACGCTTCCCCTCCATGTGCTGTCTCTTCTCTCTCTGAATAAGTAAATAAACAAACAAACAAAAAAGTCATTAAAGATGACAGGAGCATAGAACAGATTAAAAGACTGGAGTAACTGTCATCCCCCAGTCCCAGGGATGGGTGCGGTGGGGTAGTCGCTGCTCCAGGGGAGACTACAGACTATTAATATTAATATGACTCTGGGGGAGACTACAAGCCAGAGACGACGGGTGTGACAGGCGTCTGCTGTTAGGTGCGCTCGCTGAGGTCGGGCTCCTGTGGCTCCTGGACTAAGCCCATGTTTCTGCTCGTTCCCCACAGGGCAGCTTTTCGTGCTGGAGGCTCAGAATGGCTCGCAGGGCCTGGCACTGGAGGCGGCCCGGCTTTCCTGCCAGCGCAGGGGTGCTCAGCTGGCCTCTGCGGACGAGCTGCGGAGGGTGGTACAGGACTGTGCCGTGGTAGTGTGCACCACGGGCTGGCTGGCCGACGGCACCCTGGGGTAAGTCCGGCTTGCTGGGGGCACAGCCCTCCTTCTGACTGGCCCTGCGGCCCCACCCGGTGTCTGGGGGTGCTCGAGGCGTGCTGGGGCTGGCAAAGGGCAGTGAGCAGTGGCTTCCGGCACCTTCTTGTCATGAGTTCTCCACTAAAAACATTTTTATGGAGTTCTGCCCATTTCCCCCCCACCTTTGGTGGTTTGGATTTCCTTTTGGAGTGACAAAACGAATACACACTTCTGAAAATTTCAAATAATGCAGACACATATGCAGTACAAAGTGAGATTCTCTCTTCTTCCCCACCTCAGACATAATGACTGTTAAGCGTTTGGTATATATTCTTGGCCTCTTTTTTCTCTGCCCGGATTCGTCTACATGCCTATGAAGAGGAGGGCAGTGTGGCTACAAATTCTTTCGCATTACTTGCATTGAAGAGCGGGGGTCTGGGTCCTCTCCCTTTGAATCAGGGACAGCACAGAATTGCCTTGACCAGTAGAATGCATGTGACTTCTGAGGTCGGGCTGGAAACATCCAGGCCCAGATTTCTGGGACACCCACTTTTGTGATATCGTGTAGGGTGTCTGCCTGTCCTGAGAGGGCCCTGCAGTAAAGAAGTCCAGGCCACAGGGAGATGCCCCACCGAGGCGCCCTCACCGATAGCCACACCTGGTGTCCCAGTCCATGGCCAGCATCAAGTGCCAGAGATGCGAGCGAAGGGGCCTCTACGTGATCCTTGCCCCCAGCTGTTGGGTTCTCCCCAGACCAGGAATCCTCCCTAGTCAGGCCCTAGACATTACGGATCCAGGACAAGCCATCCCCCCTTGTGCCCCGAGTTCCTGACCGAAGGAATCTTTGTGGAGAAATAATTCTTGCGGCCAGCTAGGAGGCTTCCCATTAGTTCTGCCTACTGCTTCTTTAGTCATACTCGGAAAAGGCAGGAGCCATTCCCCCGTCTCCTTGGTGCCGCAGGAATGTGAAAGGGCAGAGCGGGCTCCAACAGCTGCTTTGGTCGATAATAACCTCGAGGATGGGCTGGCAGGTGGCCATAGACAACACACCCAGCCGGCCTGACTTGCATTTCCAACTGGGCCACACGTGAAGCAGCAGTCAAACAAAGAGGACAAGTAAGGGGGCTCCTGGGTGGCTCAGTCGGTTAAGCATCTGACTTCAGTTCAGGTCATGATCTCACGGTCTGTGGGTTCGAGCCCTGCGTCAGGCTCTGTGCTGACAGCTCAGAGCCTGGAGCCTGTTTCAGATTCTGTGTCTACCTCTCTCTCTGACCCTCCCCTGCCCATGCTCTGTCTCTTGCTGTCTCTCTAAAATGAATAAACATTAAAATTAAAAAAAAAAAAAAGAGGACAAGTAAGGCCACCTCCAAAGCTTGTCAGTGAACCGGGAACCGAGGAGGCTCTCTGCCTTACGTTTCGCATCTGGGTTCTGAACAAAGTAGGTCCTATGTGCGGCATCTCCCCACAACATAGTCAGGTGTGGGTTTTTTCATAACGTCGGTACTGTCACTGTGTCGGATAGCCAGGGTGTTTAGGAATTCTGAGGAGCCAGCTGGGAGCCGGGCTCAGGTCTCCCAGGCCTTACAGATCAGAAGTGGGGCTTTGGGAAGGTCTGTACTCTCCGGATCTGCAGTAAGGCAGTAGGGCATATCAGTAGATCTCTACACTGCTTACATGATATTTCTTCCCGCAAACGTACTTCCTTGATGGACTTATTACACAAAATACTAAAAATAAAACTATTTTAATGTTTCTGGAACCAAGAAGCACCTGATCACCAGTATATACATGTCAGCCGTCCCCCCTCCACACTGAAGGCCAAGTATTAAATGCACGGTGCATTTACAATCGATGGTGTAGTAAATGTACAGTCTATGCGACCTGTAGCTCCATGAATTTAAGGTGGCAGTCCGCATAAATCCAGAGGCAGCGAATCCAAAATTGAGGGCCGCTTGCCTCCTGGAGGCTTTTGCACCTTCCATAAACGATGATTGAAAAAAAAAAAAAACCCTGAGCAGCCATTTCGATAGCCTCATAGGACTAGGACATAGATTGGAATTCAGATTTTGTGGAGCCCTCTGCTTTGGGCCAGGACATTCCGGTGCTGCACCCCTGGAGTAAGAGTAAACTGGAAGTATACAGGCCCTCATGGGAGCTGCAGCATAGCTTAAAATCTGGAGTCACAGATGTGGCTCAGAATGACCCTGGAGCTCCAGTGTCCACATACCTCGTGGAACTGATTTTAAAATCCTCTCTAGAAGGATAACATTATTCTAGGCAATTTATTTCCCCAGTTTTAAAAAATCGAGGATTTACCATGCAATATAACATAACCAGTTACATAAGGAGACAAGGCAACCAGGAAAAAGAGAGCGAATAGAAACTCTAGATATTAGCACTGGTACATGCAGACTTTAAAATTACTTTTTCAAATGTTCAAAGATAACAGAAGACAAGAAGGAGAATTTTGGCAAAAGACTGAAACTGTGAAAATAACCGAGGGGAAAATCCAGAAGTGAAACAGACAGTAACTAAAATTATAAGCAAAATGGATGAATCTAATAGCTGGTATTTAAAAAAAAAAAAAAGAAAAGAAAAGAAAATTAGTGAACTAGAAGATATTTTAGGAAGTAACCAGAATTAAAAAAGAAAAACAGAAGAAAAAAAAGGTGAAAAATACAGAAGAAAGGATAGGAGGCAAAGATATATGTAATTGGGATTTTGAAAGAAAGAACAAAAATGGTATGAGACTTGCCTACAACTGAAGAAAAACGTCCAGGCACAGATTCAAGAATCCCTATAAAACATGAGTCGGACAAATAAATTCCCAACTTGACACATCATGGTGAAACTGATAAGGACCTAATATGAAGGAAAAATATTGAAAGTAATAATAAGAGAGGGTACCTTACAAGGAGCAACAGTAGATGGACAATGAAAGCCCCGAAACAATTGAATGATACTTTCAAAGTGCTGAAAAAAAAATCGTTGCCAACCTAGAATTTTATACCCAGTGAACATATCTTCCAGGAATGGAAGTAAAATAAAGATATTTTCAGACAGACAAAAAGTGAGAAAATTCATCATATCAGAACTGCACTAAAAGAAACACTAAAGGCTAATCTTCAGGCAAAAGGAAAGTAATTACAGGTGAAAGACTGAAGATGCTAAAAAAGACATGAAGGAAAAGAGTCCATATACAGGTAAATTGAAATTGTGTAATTATATAAAGCAATAATAATAGTACTAAACACTAAATGGCACATAAGTCAGGAAGTGTTTTAAGTATGTTAATATATAGTATTAACATTTTTTAAATTTTTATTTTTTAGACAGAGAGAGAGTGTGAGCAGGGGAGGGACAGAGAGACAGGGAGACACAGAATCTGAAACAGGCTCCAGGCTCCAACCTGTCAGCACAGAGCCCAGTGTGGGGCTTGAATTCATGAACTGTGAATCATGACCTGAGCTGAGGTCAGACGCTTAACTAACGGAGCCACCCAGGCACCGCAATACATAGTATTTTAAGTATTTTTAAGTTGTATTGTTGGAGTAGAGCGTGAAAGTAGTATTAAATGTCAATAGGTCAAGGAAGAATGCATATCTCCTGGGTAACCACTAAAATGATAGTAAACAGATATATAACTTCCAGACCTATACAGAAAAAGAGAATGAGACAAAAAGAATTCAAACAATCAAAATAGGGAAAAGAAAAGAGAGGAAGAAAGAATGCACAGAACTCATAGAAAGATGGGAGATTTCAATTCACAGACATCTGTGATTTAATTAGATTAAAATGGATGGGATGCTTCATTTAGAAAACAAAGATTTTTTTTTTTTTAATTCTATTACTTGCTGTTTACCAAAGATACCCTTACATATATCGGGGGCGAAGATAAATTATGGTTTGTTAAGTGGAATGTATGTAGAACTGAATGATATTAAAACCATAACATACTCAAACTTGTAAGATGCTACTAAAGCTGTAGCTAGATGGAAATCTAAAGCATTTAAATGCTTGTGTTAGAAAAGAGGAAAGGTGGGACGCCTGGGTGGCTCAGTCAGTTGAGTGTCTGACTTCGGCTCAGGTCATGATCTTGCGGTTCGTGGGTTCAAACCCAGCGTCAGGCTCTGTGCTGACAGCTCAGAGCCTGGAGCCTGCTTTGGATTCTGTGTCTCCCTCTCTCTCTGACCCTCCCCTGCTCACGCTGTCTGTCTGTCTGTCTCTTTCTCTCTCTCTCAGAAATAAATGAAAACATTTAAAAAAATAAAGAGGAAAGGCTAAAGGTTTATAAACTAAGTAATGATCCATCTAAAGAACAGAAAAAACAAACCCCCTCACAAAGAAAGGAACTAATAAGAAAAGCAGCATTTTGTGAAATTAAAATAAAAACAAACATACACTAGAAGAGATTAATGAGGTCCTGCCTCTGAACTCAAATTGATACCTAAGGCCTCAACTGAAGTATCCCCTGTGTATTCCTGATTGTAGACCTTTGTCTGTGGAGAGTATTTCCCTATTGATGCTTTCAAGCAAAGATCCTCAATCAGAAAAATCTCTGCTGATTCAGAACTGACAGCAGAGAAGAAGTGTTCTTTCCCATTCTTAGACCTCCTAACCCAGGGTCTTCTTTGTCTGTTTCAGGACCACCGTGTGCAGCAAAGGGAGTGGAGAGCAGCAAATCATGAGAGCCGTTGGTGTGAGAATTGAAAGCAACCCGGTTCCCAGCGGCACGTACAATGCCCTTTGTATTAAGAATGAAGGTCAGTGGCAGAGCCCTTATAAAGGGCTCTGGAGGGTGTGCGTGGTGGTTGCCGTCTGAGGTCACGTTCTCCAGAAGCAGACCTTGGGATGAGAAAGTTCTCCAAAGGAAAGCCAGTGGGACAGTGGGGCAGTGGGCAGAGAAAGGAAGTGGACCAAGCAGGGTGCATGCAACACTCAGCCAAGTCCACAGTGGCGTAACCTCGGCTCAGTCCTACAGAGGATCTCGGGAGCCAGTGTAGATCACCAGTTTCTTCGACCAGGGGTGAGAAGGCAGGGGTATTTATACCACCACACCCGTCAGCGGTTCAGGGCTGCTTCAGGGAGATGCAAATCCCCAGGCTCTTCTGGTGTATGGCGTGTGCTGGCAAAGGACTCCATAGCTCGAGTGTCACCCTCCAGCAACGATGCAGAGGCGCCCACCGGGACTGCGTGCATGGAAGTGGTGCAGGTATCTAGGTGATATGGGGCAGACCCCTGGCAGCATCTGCTATGGTTGCTGATACAGTTTACCTTTCAGTCTCTCTTCGTGGTGCCCAGCACACTAAAAAGGAGGGGGGAGTCATTTTCCCCCCAAAAGGAAATCTACGGGATTTAGGAAACTGCTCCTAGGACGGAAAAGTCTGCTTCCCTCTGGTAAATCAGCTGAAGGGAGAGGAGAAAACCACAGAGGGGTCTTGAGGGCAGCATTCAGGTATACCTGAAATCAGTATACCTTCATTATCAGAAACCCACGCCGATAGGGGAAGTACACGCAAATGGCAAAAAAGGCAGCCGCTTACCCTCAGCTGCTTGGCTGCACATCGGTCCCATGTGGGAAGTTTTGAGAAATACTGATTCCTGGGTGCCCGACCTAGACATTCAGATATAAATGTTCTAGGGATTAGGGTTTTTTTTTAAGCTCTTCAGCAATTTTAACACATAGTCCAGCTTGAGAGCTAGTTTCCTAATGCAGAGTGTCCCAAACCTCTCTGATGGTGGGAGATAACAAAGGAACCTGTTAGAAATACAGCCCCTCAGGCTGCATCCTAAAGGCACCAAATCCTAATCTCCGAGGAAGGGGTCAGAGGAGCTGGGAAGCCATAGAACCAGGTGAACCCCCAAGGCCCTGGCAGGTGCCCATTAGATGCTTATCAGCGACTGGTTTCTCGGCTCCTATGGGCTCTTCCTCCAGAAGGGTTTCTTCAGTTGCTCATTGCTCTGGAAAGTGTGGGGAGGAATCTTCTGATAACTGCCCCTTCGAGCTACTGAATCATGTGGTCTTGCTCTTCAGGGCTTGGGGAGAACAATACTCATGGTTTGTTTTGCAAAACCACTAAGTAAATTAAAATGATCCTTTGAATCCCAAACATAGGCAAAAGCTCAGATCCCTGAGAGGGTCAGGAAGCACAGAGCCAGAAGAAAAAGCGTGGCTTTCTTCCTTCAGTGACCTCAGTGAATATGTGGGGCTTCTGAGTCTTTTCATTCCTGGATGAACAGAGGGTATCAGTTAGTTTTCGCTTCGTAAGGTAACACCCCCCAAAGTAGTGGTTCCAAACAACTATGTATTGAGTTCACCATTGTTTTGGACCAGCTGTTTGGCTGGGCTCATTCATGAGTCTGCAGTCGGCTGCTAGTTAGGTGGCCTTGCTTCTGGGAGGCGGTGGCTGTCGGCTAGGGCTCTGGGGGGCCACTGAGCCCTGTGTTCATCATCATCCAACAGGACAACCTGGGCTCCTGCCTCACAGACCTTCAGACACAAGTGTGTACCCCTTTGCCCACAGTTGTGGTACAGGAAGCCAGAGGCTGGAAACATCCATTCATATCCTGTAGGGCAGCAAGCTCAAAGCCGTGCTAGCCACTCCCGGGTTACTGAGTGTTGGCCAGACCAATGTGACATGCTTTCTGATATACTGTGCTCAGAGGAACCCAACTTCAATTCAGTGCCATTCCTGCCAGAAATGCATAGCTTGAGGGGCGCCTGGGGGGCTCAGTCGGTTGAATGTCCGACTTCGGCTCAGGTCATGATCTTGGCAGTTCATGGGTCCCAGCCCCGCGTCGGGCTCTGTGCTGACAGCTCAGAGCCTGGAGCCTGCTTCAGACTCTGTGTCTCTCTCTCTCCCTCTGCCCCTCCCTGGCTCACACTCTGTCTTATTCTGTCTCTCAAATATAAATAAATGTAAAAAAATTTTTTTAAGAAAGAAAGAGCCTTTAAACCACTTCCACACAGTCCTGCCCTACTCAGTGGAGCCGTGACTTTTCCTCAGTGGAGCCTCTGTTGACAGTGCTGTGAACAGGCGGAATCTGGGTGCTGAAGGTGTAACGCCTCAGAGAAGCCGAGGGGAGCCGAGGTTCCGTGAGGCAGACGTGGCTGTGTCGGTGAGTGTGGTCCAGCACACGCACCAGGGCAGTGCCATCCCCTATGGTTGCCTTTTTCCTGCTGATGCTTCCTGGCACTTAACTCTGTGCTGCCGCTTCTCTTTGGCAAGACAGGAAGAATGAAGCGTGTTCGCTCCAAAAATGGCCGACGTGGGCCTCATGAGGCACGCGGGGGGAAAACAGAGCCTGTGGAATATCCAGGCAGCCTCCTTCCTGGGTTTCTTCTTTGAAATAAAGCTCATCACGAATGTAGACTTTTCTTATTTCCCTTCCAGTAATTTTGTCTCACTGACAGTGAATTTCCAGCCCTCTGGTGATCTCACTTAAACTAATAAGTGAAGTTATTTTTAACCAGCTGGATGCCAATGAAATAAGCGGCCTCAACATGGGTTCTCTGGCTCTGCTTCTCTTGGCGGCCCGTCTGTGGGGCGGGGGGCCCGAGGTGTGGAGGCTTCACGTCTCCTCCCGCCTCCTCCCTGTTGCACCCCCAGAGCTCCACGTAGGCTGTGCTCTGTTTGCCCCCTGGCCTGGCTGTCTTCCCTACCAGCCGCCTTACCTGCTCAGCACTGCGCACCTCTTCCCCTGCATCCTGGGCTGTTGCCTGTATTTCCCCTAAAAACAGAGAAGGAATTCTTCCTTTCCTTTATCTCATCAAGCAGGGAGCTAGATGCTCACCTCTAAGAGCAATGAGGAATTTTTGAGAGTAGCCGGTTCTCCAGTCTGCCTGGAGGAGGCCCTGGGCCTCAGGATTGGCTCTGGGGAGATCCTCCCCTGGCTTTGAGGACACTGGAGTCAATTAATTGAATTGTTTTTGAACAGCTGATAGAACTGGTTTAGTTCAGGTTCTCCCGAAGAAGTGGGGAAAACTCTGAGCTTATTACCATTGACCTGGTATTGGCCATTCGTTTATTTATTTGTCCGGTAATACCAAGTCCAGGGCCTGACTTGTGGGTGCTTCAGATAGATTGAGGAAGAGAGAGAGAGAGAGAGAGAGAGAGAGAACTCATCCCCACCCTCAGGGAATTGACAGTGCATGAAGATAAGAAGTGAATGTTGTTTCCATGACACAATGGAGGAGGGTAATTGGAGGTGTCTGAGGTGGAATTGTAAGGGGCTTGTTTGCCTGGGGATAATGGTTAGGGAAGAAAGAGAGACGTTGAAGACAGAACAGGGGAGCAGGGGCTTCAAACATAGTTCCCAGTGGTTCAGGGCGAGCAGCTCTGGGAGAGCCATAGTACTAATGCTTCAAGGAGTGAACTGGGTTCAGAACATCCCTGGGGGCCCGAGTAGCTGCTGGGCAATGTGAGGTGGCTGCGGAAGGCAGCCCAAATTATCCCCACGGCAGGAGGCAGTGATGCCCCCTCTTCTGCTACTCCTGTCCTCAGGCCTAGCCAGCATCAGGTCTTGCTTTCCCAGGACTGAGGTCTCCATTCCAAAACCTTGGGCCAGATCAGTCCTGACGCACAAACAGCCAGTTCCCAGGAATGCTGGGATGTCTGGGCAGCCGGAGACGTGGTGCCAGTGTGTCCTTAGCCCCTGGGGCAGATAACTGTGACCTGGGCTCTAGGGACCAGCAATCTGGACAGACTTCTCCACCTCTCTGCTACTCACGAGAGCCAGGGGCTCCACTCTGCACCCGTTGGCGCATTTAGGGAGCCTGTGCTTGGCTTTCTGGTATGCGGTAACTGTGAGGAGGAGCCCAGAGTCTGGCCTCGCAGACACATGCAGGAGCTCCCAGAGCTGAGCTCCTGGGGCACCTGGCTTCCCGAGACTTGGAAGTACTTCATTCCGTCCTGTTCCACAGCAGTCTCTGGGCCAGTAAGAGTCACTCAGTGCCTGTCTGTCGGTAGCTTTCCTAGAAAGTGTCTCCATGGGGCTCAGGGTTCTGGAGAAAGAGACCCTGGAGCGAGACACACTCCAGTTACGGCAAAGGCCACACAGACATTTTCAGGATATCATCTCGAGAGTTTACAATGCATCTCCAAATGCTCTGAGCCTGTACGAGCGGCTCAGAGGGTTACAGGTCCTTCAGGGATGGGAATGGGGGTCTCTCTTACTCTGAGGCCAGGTTTTCTGTTCTGTGACACAGCGCATGGGGGCTTCCTTGACCCCCAAGGGGGCAGCTGCTGCCCGGGGCAGCCAGCATGGCATTGCAGAGCAGTGTGGGAGCCCTTCCTTCCAGAACGGGGGCCCTGACCAGTGCTTGCTTGAGGCCTGCAATTTCCTGCTGTTCTTCTGTTTATGCTCGACAAGGACCAATATCGTGGATTTCCTGCCCTTTATGTCTCATCTTTTGTTGGTGCAGAGGGGCTGACAGAAACTTTGGGGTGTGGGGAGGATCCTGTGTGCCAGAGAGGGAGTGCAGAAGGCTCCGTGAGGGGGTCAGGGGAGGTGGGCCTGGGCCTCCCCTCAGTGCTGCGATAGAGAGTTCTCGCTCCAGCACGTTCCCTCCTTGGGAGCCCGTGATCAAAGCCATCAGGGTTTCTGACGCAATGCAGTTCAGCTGCAGAGCTACTTCCTTCTTCCTCCTTCCTGGGCACCTCCCTGTATCCATCAAGGCCTGCTCTGGCTCAGTTTACTCAATAGTAAGCTCACTTGAAGGCCTGTCCTCCCAGACGGGGGGGTGGGGGGGTGGGGGGGGCGG